ACATTGATAGCATTTTAAGAATGAACAAGATAAAAAAGCTCCAGTTTAGAAGGTCAGGAGCGGGTTTTTCAAACTTAAAGGAAACACCAACTGTTCCTTTGATGTTTCATGTTGAGCTTTGAGCAGTTCTGTGAAGTCTTTGGATGAAGATGGTTGCCTACACCAGTGCTCTTGAGAAAGGAAGGATATAGTAAAAGAGACATAGGTTTTGAGATAAAACCCTAAAGAGATCACTTAAAGCTGGGTGTGTTTAAGCTCAGATGTTTCACAGCTCTGGGAAGGAGTTATCTGCAGTTCCAGTCTATAAATTAAAATCACAAGTAATTTAAACCTACTGAGGCGTTTGAATCAGCAACTCTGGTGTAAATATCACAAAAGGCATCTTTGGACAAAATGCAAATTTTGTTTTTGATTCCTGTATGAGGGATGTGTTTTGGATACAATACAAAAACTATCTTTTTCTTTCTAATTTATAAAGGTGTGTTTTGGGATTAATGGGATTATACTTTTACCGTGTGTTTAAAAAATCTTTGAGTTTGTGCTATAAGTAAAAGGCTTGGGTTGTTATCTTAATTTCTTTTGTAAATAAACTCATTTTATTCCTAAAGCAAAATCTGCAGCACTGCATACTCATATTTCAGTAAAAGGTCACTTTGTTAAAACCAAATTAAGTGCACCAACAAGACTATAACAACTTCAAAGGATAGGCATATGACTTTGATGTCTGCTACAAACCTGCTGTCAAAATAGTTTGACACATTGAACAGATTACTGAATTTGAATACAAATATATAAATTCCACTAAACTTACAAATAGATTGTTTGGCTATCAAAGTAAAAGATGAGCTTAAGGTCAACTTGATGCATTTTGGCCAGCAAAATGGAAACCAACTTCACGAGGAAACAGTTAATGATCCATGACTGAAGGCATAATGGAACATTATTATAGAACAGAGATACTAGGAACTGCAGATGCTGGAAAATCTGAGATAACAAGGTGTAGAGCTGGATGAACACAGCAGGCCAAGCAGCATCATAGGAGCAGGAAGGCTGATGTTTCGGGCCTAGACTCTTCATCAGGGATGAAGGGTCTAGGCCTGAAACGTCAGCCTTCCTGCTTCTGTTATTATAGAACAATGGCCTTAAACAATACAAATGTGCCACACTCTCAAGTGCTTTTGGCTACAAAGAGATAAATTAGGTGTCTCAGAAGCCTATTTTTTAGGGGGAAGCAAGTACTTGCACCTGAGGCTTTTCACCAAGACATACTGTCACTCAGGGCATACAGACACAGAGTGAACAAGACACTGAGCATAGGATACTCAGTATTGACCAGAGATCAACAATAATGTTGACAAGCATTTAAGGATGCTTAAGAGTGCCAGAGTCACCAACCATAATAATACAAAGAACCTGTACACCCTTATAAAATTCCATCAGTCCCTTCATCCAAAATCACAACCGATTTATTCAGCAAACAAGGTGACAATTTTCTCCTTGTCACCAACTATGTTTCCAAATTTCCAACTGTCAGGCTGTTAAAGGACTCTTCAGGTGTGTCCATGGCCAACACTATGAGTGTATTACTCAGTCTATTCCGTGTATCTGAAGAAATCACACCTGACAATGGGCCACAATATACAGGCAGACCTTTTTGGCACATTTGTACCAAATGGGGCACAAACCACTTGAAAGCCTCAGCAGATTACCCCAAATCCAAAGGTATCACTGAATGAATGATTTGGTCTGTCAATTATTTTATTATGAAGTGCATTTATTATGAAGTGCAGGGCAACAAAACAAAATGTTTGTATGGCTATGCAACATTCAGGAGCTACAACTCTGGATATGGGTTTATTATCGCCAACTGAGATCATCTTGGAAGGCAAGTTAAGAAAACCGGGACAGCTATCTCCTCTCCAAGTTCTCAGAAATGAAGCATAAACTTCTCAAAAAAACAAGGGTGAATGAAGATGGTAGGTAATTAACATAAATAGGAGTAGAACTACTTGATCTGTGAATAGTATATAAGGTTAGAGTCATATATTCTATCCAAGGAATGTCAAAACTCACAGAGGTATCCAAAGTATGCTGAGCGCCTAGTTCCTACAAAGTCACAACACCAAATCGAGCAACATTTAGGAGAAACAGAAACCAACTCCGGGAACTGTTCAGAACTCAAGCTGTGCACAGAACACACAGTCAGATAATGAAGATGCAGAAGGTCAACATGACAACAATCAACACTCTAATAACACACAAAAGACCAACACCATCCAGATCAAGAAACACTAAGTGCAAAGTCTAGATCTCCAGACAGTAACATCATCACAAGATACAAACAAGATTGCCAAATCACTGCTAGACGATATTAACTCTTAGACTTGTACGTATTTCAGTTCTTGTTTCTGTACAAATGGCTTTGCAACTATCTAAGGTACATATATTTTCACTCAGTGCATGTAATTTTGTCTTGGGAAAGCAGGGTAGTGTTATTGCTTTAAGAGCTGAGTACGTTAATGAGCCAAATGCCAGGAAGTCATCACATGACTAACAGTCATGTGGAGTCCAAGCTGCAGCATGCTGGACTAAGGATGTGAACTTAATTTGGTCTGCAACTGCAAGCTATGGGGGTTTGTCTATTCAGGAAACATGTTTGAGATTTTCAAGTAAACTCACTCTATGCTACTGACCAATCTAGTGTGAAAGTGGTGATTCTATGTTCAGGAACAGAACACAAGAATACAACACAGTCTGTTAAATAGCATCCACCACAGAAGCATCCAAGCCTCCTTAATATAGAAAGGATATCATTAAACTAGAAAGAGTGCAGAAATAATTTACTAGGATGCTACCTGGACTGAAGGTTTGACTTATAAGGAGAGATTGGATAGGCTGGGTCTTTTTTTCCCTGGAACGTGGGAGACTCAGGGGTGACCTTATAGAGGTCTATAAAATCATGAGAGGCATAGGTAAGTTAGAAAGCCATGGTAGGGGAGTCCAAAATGAGAGAGCATAGATTTAAGATCAGAGGGGAGAGATACAAAAGGGTTCAGAGGGGCAGAGGTAGTGATGAAAGCAAGCAGAATTTCATCATATAAGAAACATTTAGACAGGTACATGGATGGGATAGGTATGGAAGGATAAGGACCAAATGCAAGAAAATGGAACTAGTTTAATTGTGAAAACTGGGTTACTTGGGCAAGTTGGACCGAAGGGCCTGTTTCCATGCTGTAGACATCTTTCACTCGATGACTCTATAACTGTGCAAACAAAGCTTTTGAAATGTAAGTAATACACAATAATGCACCAGTTATTCACTTGTCTTTTTTAGGGTTATCTGCCAACTTTCTGCTAAACTAACAGGAAATCACTTTTCAGGAACTTTGAGAAAATTCTCAGCATTGTCCTTTATGATGTTTCCTTGACCTTTCTGCAGTCTTTAGCAAAGTTCACCAGACCATACTCTTCCAAGCCTACTGGTCCACTGGCCCAGCTCAGTGCAACTTCACTCACATGCTTCCACTCTTGTGTATCTGATGGTAGCTAGAACATCTTTAACAATTGTTTCTCTTCCTAACACTGCATCATTTAGAGTCAACATGAATTTATTTTGTCCCCTTCCTCATCCACATGGTCCCTTGCAACACTACCCATCAATATGGAGTGAGATTCCATAGGAAATCTGATAACACCCAGCTCCATCACTCCACCGGTCCTCCCTATTTCCACGGTTTTCATGTTGGCACACTTCTGGTCCAACATACAAACATGAATATGCTACACATTCCTGCAGTTGATTATTAGGAAGGCCTGTCTTTGGTTCTTCCCACCTTGTCTGTTCTTTTGCAAAGTTCATATCCTGTGCAGCCATCGTCTCAGTCTGAACCCCGTTATTTCCAATACCAATCACAGTAGAATCTGGATGCTAGAAATCTGAAACAAAATCAGAAATTGCTGGAGAAACTAAACAGATCTGATGGGTCCCTAGAAGGATGACAGAACTCGAAAAAGCCATCTCTGCTTTCTCTCCATAGACGCTGCCAGATCTGCTGAATTTCTCCAGGTGAACCTGAACTGAGCTTCCAAAGGCACATTTGCAATCCCCTTTTTGTTCTACAATTTCAAACTTTCAGACCTTCAACTATTTCATTAGGATGTGGGTAATATATACCTCTCTTCATTTACTTTTCACTTCATCAATCTTAACATAATTCTGACAAATTAGAAGACATTCCCACACTGCAGGAGAGTACACAATGGAATTTTGATTGCTATTGACTAAGAATCCTGCAATTGTAGTGATACATGACTCCCGCTTCTCACCAGATGTGGCTGAGGAAACGAGTTCGTTTTCCCAATGTACGATTAAAGTCGATTACATAATTAGTGTAATATTTACTGTTGTTTTGTCCAACATAATAATACACGCAACAAGGAGTGTAATTTACAGTTGGTAACGTCATGCATTTATATAAGTATAAAAAAAGTGTAGAAATGGTGAGTTGTTATATGATTCAGTCCGCATTATTGTTAATGCATAGCTTTAGCACGGCAGCTGTCAGTATCTGTAAGAAACTGAACGGCATATTGTGGGTGAAAAAAGAAAGAACTGCGGATGCCGGAAATCTGAATCAAAAACAGAAATTGCTGGAAAAACTCAGCAGGTCTGGCAGCAACTGTAGAGAGAAATCAGAGTTGAGGTTTCGGGTCTAGTGACCCTTCCTCAGACTCAGACTGTGAAGTTCAAAGTTTAAAGCATGTTACACTCTAATCTTTCTTTTAAATCGGTGAGAAGCGCTTTGGATCTGTACTGACCAAAATTCAATACATGCTCTCCAGCTTTGCGTGTAGATAATGCACAAATGAAACAGTGCAAGGCGTTTTGAATTTTGTGGGTTGCAATTATAATACACTTAGCTGTGTGGACGGTTTTATTCTGTGCTTCTCCACTAGTTCTGGTTGCAGGAGCCTGCAAAGTAACGGAGATTGACACTAACCTCTGCGGGGATTGAATCCGTGCTATTTCGGACAGAAGGACATGTTTCAGTGGCCAGCAGCCAGTAATCTGTGCCGAAAGCAACTAAAAAGAGTAGAACCCCGAGAGCTCCAAACAGCCCGGCGATGAAGAGGAGCACGCTGAGTTTCATAGTTTTTCTATATTCTTCACTGTTGTATAATTGACCGAAGGAAGTTCTTCAGCAAGATCCCTCTTTCTCTCTCCCCCTCTCTCTCTGTCTATGCTCTGTTTTAGGAATCTGATCTCTCTCACTCCTCTTTGCACACGGGTGCGGCGTTTCAAAAATAACCGACCTCCTTGTAACTATGAGTGGGACATATTGTAATTCCCATGTGCATATCAGTTGAGGAAAGGCCTCGCTGGCTTCTCCCTTTTCGTATGGATCGCGAAAGTCCTGGAATCCTGGAGAATGGAATTCACTGAAGAAATGACATCGCCACGCTGCAAATAGCTACAGCTTATACAACCCACCGATGTGACAGGCCTTCTTCGCTCTGTGCTGAAATGCAGCACAAGTATTTCGCTGTTCCTCGCGTCTGACCCGCTTGCCTTTCGGGTGGATTGTTCATGTTTCGCGAAGGTCCTGGTCATGAAAGGACGAAAAGCATCAATAACATATTTGTACAGCGTCATGAAACCTCCCAATGCAACTCCAACAGGAGCGTTAGAAAACAAAGAATGACACAGAAGGTGATAATAGGTCGGATGACGAAAGGCTTGGTGAAATGGGTACTTTTAGGAAGTATCTGAAGGAGAAATGTGAACTGTGGTGGTATTGGAGCAGGAGAAGGCTACACAGTCATTCAAGTGTGCTCTGCCATTCTAGATCCTAGCTGATCATTTACCTCTTCCTCATTTTCCTGCTGCAAACTCATATCCTGAGATGTCATTCGTGTCTGGAAATCTCAAATTTAAATGATTGAGCTCCAATGACCGACCTTTCACAACCCTAAAAGATATATAGTTCAGAGAATTGACTAACCACTGATGGTAGAAATTCCTCCTCATCTTAGTTCTAATTGGCTTGCTCTTTATCTTGAAACTCTGATCCTGGGTTGTAGAAGCCTCCACCTCCCAAACAGGGAACTGCATCCAACCTGTGGAGGCCTCTAAGAATTTTGTGTTTCAGTCAGCTGCCTCTCATTCTATGAAACTCCAGAGAATTCAGGCACATTATGCACAATACCTCTTGCTGGGATAGCACGGACATCCCAGGAATCAACCTGTAGCACTCCCTGGATGACAAGTATAAACTTCCTCACCCAAGGGAACCAGAACTGCACACAATATTCCAGATGCAATTTCACCATTGTTCTAGACAACTTAAGTAAAGACATCTTTATTCCTGTACTCATGATTGGCTAGCAAGAGAAAGGCAATGGCCTAGCAGGTATTATTGCTAGACTATTAATCTGCAGACCCAGCTAACATCCTGGCAGATGGTGAAATTCGAATTCAATGAAAAGAATCTGCTATTAAGGGTCTAACGATGACCATGAATCCGTTGTTGATTGTAATGAAAAACCCATCCGGTTAACTAATTTCCTTTAGAGGAGGAAACTGCTGGCCTACATGTGACTCCAGACCCACAGCTGTCCTCTGGATAATTAGGGAAGGGCAATAAATGCTGGCCCAGCGAGTGACACCCTCATCCTGTGAATAAGTAAAAGTAAAGCTCTCAAGAGTGGAACTGATAATGGAATAGTTTAGGTTAGATGGGCTTCAGATTGGTTTCACAGGTCGGCGCAACATCGAGGGCCGAAGGGCCTGTACTGCGCTGTAATGTTCTATGTTCTATGTACTGTTCACTGAGGGACAGAGATCTAACCTTTAGTCTGTTTAGCCCCACTCCCCAAGCACGTTACCATTGTTAGACAGTCCTTTCAAAAGGGGGTCTGTGGGTGGAATAACTTTTCTTTTGGTAGTGGGGTGGCCTAGCAATGTATACGCCGACACCCTTAAACAAATTCAGTGCAGTTCTTTTTTCCCCAGATTTTAAAATATGTTAAACTTCATCTCCACGAACAGAGTTTCCCAAACTGTGGGTCATCAGTTGAGATTCTGGGTCATGAGCTCTGAGCTAGCAATGGTTGCAGGTTTTACCTGCTGCAAGGTCCTTTAAATCCCAATGTTTTTATTATCTGGTGGGTGTGGCCTAATTGACCAACTCTTGAGTCCTGATACCTGCTCCAAAAAGCCAATATAAAGGTTGGTGTTGAAAATTTTTTGTCATGATTAAATACTTTGTCTCCACCTTAGGTCTCACAGCACCCACCATGTTTCCCCCCACGCTGACACTCCCCTTCAGTCTCACAGCTCCTCAACCAACTCCATCCCACCCCCTCCAATTCTCACTGAGGAAAGCAAGGGAGTGCTCAAGTTTTGAAATGGGGTCAGTGTGGGAAATAATTTAAGAAGCACTGCACTGGGAATTAAATGACTGTCAGCCTGTGGGCTCTGGGCTGTTCAATCTTTGAGGCCTAAAGCTGACATCTTCTTTGTGCCTGTTTTGGGCAGGTAGCTGGTAATAAAAAAGAACCACGATGCCCCACATGGAGCTAAAATTCCTCCTTCAGTTTTTTTTTTATTTCTTTGAATCCTCCCATTTATGCATTTATCACATCTGCCCTTTTGCCATTTTTGATCCACACTTGTACAGACCACTCTGTCATTTCCTGTGCTTGTTGACTTTGCACACTTTCTTCACTTCTTTCTGCTTCTTAAATGCTGGTTATTGCAATATCTTTGGGTTCTGACTCAGGTTTTCTTATTGGATGCTGATTGAACAAATGAGTTTCAAATATATTCTGACTTATTTGCAATACGTGCCTTTTTCTTAAATTGACACTGCAAGCAGTGATATAGTGTAATTCATTACATTATTCCTCACGCACAGTAGAATGGATAGGGTTAACAGCCAGGTCTTTTTCTGAGGGTCGGGGAGTCCGAAACTAGAAGACATAGGTTTAAGGTTTAAAAATAGAGGGACAAGATTTAAAAAGGACTTAAGGGATAACTTTTTCGTGCAGAAGGTGGTGCGTGTATAGAATGAGCTGCTAGAAGAAGTGGTGAAGGCAGGTACAATTACAACATTTAAAAAGCTGGATGGGAATATGAATAGGAAGGACTGAGAGGTATACGGGCTAAATGCTGGCAAATGGGGCTAGATTGATTTAGGATATCTGTTCAGCATAGACAAGTTGGACCGAAGGGTCTGTTTCCATACTATGAATCTGAATGGGACTAGGTCAGATTGGAATGTCTGGTCAGCGCGGATGAATTGGATCGAAGGGTCTGTTTCCATGCTGTATGATTTATGACTCGATGACTATTTTGCTTGTCACTTTATGAACAATTTCTGTGAATAACAGCCCATCTTGATTCCTCCATACTACTCAAGTGTATTAATGTATGCTGTCAGTTTGCAAAGGCAATAAATATGACATAATTGCTCATTCATTTTGAATTGAACTCCACACCCCATTATGACACACAAATAATGAAATATTTTATTTCAAAGTCAATAATGTGGAATAAAATTAATGATTGCAGATATCAGAATTTCAAGATATTTGGATTCATTTCTCACAAGTGTGTTACATTTTACACAAGATAGCCACTGTACATCTTAATAAACTAACAGTGATATTGCAATTAGCAGGAACATGTTTTAATCTCCCTCAGTAACTACCCCATGTGAACTTGTGGACTCTTTAAAAGGCACATTTGAATATCAGTACATCCAGTTCCATTGTGAATGTGGCTGCCCTTGCAGTAAATTATAAATGTATTACTGTCATGATGAATTAGGAGACATCTCTATGATTGAAGTTGAGCTTACAATAGCAACAGCTTAAAATATGTACTTTATTTACAAAATTCAATATTTGCAATGATATCAATTTAGTATCTTAGTTGATGTTTTATTCCTGTTAGCATTGAGATAGGAATTTCACAGTTACTACTTTCCAGTTCTTAAATTCCAATCATACTTGACAAGAATTGATGATATTAATATTAGTAAGTTAAAAAAATGGATATAAATAAAATGTGATCTAAAATGTTTAATCATCATCACAGAAAATGTGGAATAATACTGTTTCTTGATGTGGAAATCAAAGCAAGCCAATTTAACAAATTGCAATTACAGTTACAATTTCTGTCAATTCTCAGTTATGGAAGACAAGTAAGGTCAGTAAGTTTAACTGCTATAGTTGCTCATCACTTTGTTTTTAGCCAAGTAACATTGAAAAAAGACATATTTTGTCGAAGCTTTTTGTCTTACACTCATCGGGACAATTTACAAGAATAACAATTCATGGGGAAAACCCAACATCCATGCTGCATGGAGAAACAGCATTGATCGGTAGACAAGTGGAGTCTGATTGAGAGAGGTATTGTCATGGAGAATGCAACTATTACTGCTGATTGACAGTTAACAGCCAGGCTTTGTTTTAATTTTAAACCAGGTAGATTAACTCTGAAATAGTTAGGCCATTGCCTTGAAAAATGAACTCGCAAATGGCTGTCATATATTTTGTGGAATTAAAACAGACACAATGTGTGTACACAACGACAGCTTTCCTGCTCCTCTGATGCTGCTTGGTCTGCTGTGTTCATCCAGCTCTACACCTTGTTGTCTCAGATTCTCCTGCATCAGCAGTTCCTACTATCTCTGTAACAATGTGTGAACATGTTTTTTTCTGTCTGTAAAGGAAAGGGCCCTGTGTATTCAAATACATCACATGAAGGCTTGACTGATAATCCTAAATTGGTAACAAAAACAGAAATTGCTGGAGAAACTCAGCAGCGTCCATGGAGAGAAAGCAGAATTCACATTTCAAATCCAATGATTCTTCTTCAGAATGCCACCCAGATTTGAAACGTTACCTCTGCTTTCTCTTCACAGATCCTACCAGACATGCTGAATTTCTCCAGCAATTTCTGTACTTTTTTTATAGATTTCCAGCATCTGCAGTTCTTTGTTTTATTATAACCCTAGATTGGTTGTAAATGTATTTCCTCACACTTCCAGCATTATCCAGTAAATGCTATCCAATTGCATTTTGCAAGTGTAGACCATTGCCCAAACAAGACAGATGTGGAGAAGCAATTTGCTTGTTAGAATTT